CAGAGAGTGTGCAAGTGAGGGGAAAATGCTTTAAATTTTTGCACTTTTATGGGAAGTGAGGTCACTGAACTCTGAGATGCAGCTTTTTTTCATAGCCAACCCCTAGCACTTTTTTTTCTCACTGCAGCACTTGTGTCTTTCAAGCAGGATCCACACTCCTGAGGGAGGGTATGGACATTACAATTTTGATCTTGGTAGTGTGTTAAATTTGGGGAAACATAGAGCTGTTGCAATTGAAGCGAGGAGGTTTGTTTCAATAAGCCCTGACTGCAGAAACACTATAATTATTCCTCTGAATCAGGGCATGGTCAAGAGACAATGATATGCCAGAATTAGGCAATAATATATGCTGTGGTCAGTTATTCAGTAAGGTCGCAGTCTCTGAATGCTACACTATAGACATTTGTTAAGTGGTTAGTGAAGCCTATAGGAAACAATACATCACCTTTATTACTATTTATGCATACTTTTATGATGGCTCTGCAATCATGTTTGTAAGATGTGTGTAGTGCAAACTGTATACTGCTGAATTTCTTCTTTTTCTGAGTGGCTGAGAATATAAGAAGAGCTGGGTGAGATCAAAACAAAGTTTTGTTTAGTCAAGCCTTCTGTTCCCACCATACCAAACATGGGAAAAGTTTCTTACAGGAAAAAGGGCAGGATATGAATCTAAATAAATGAAAAAGATAAAAACAAGCCATCCCTGAATGCACTGGTACCATTTCACTTGTGTTCTCCATGCAATTGAAATACAGAGGCAAACTACATAGTGGCGGTAATATATAGCCATCATGACTAGTAGCTACTGGTAGACTTACCATCCATGAAAATTTTCACACACAAAATGGAGTTAAATCACTTGCCTTTCCAGCCAAAGGATTTGAAATAAGAGAAAGGTGAGGATAAAATTTTAGATCTTACTTTCAACATACAGGAGAAGCAGAATTTGATCTGTCCTTCTTTCCTTCCTAAGTCTCCTCTGGGTCCCCTTTAAAACACTTTTGACAGGCAATGTGGGATTTTTTGGACTAGGACATATGGCTGCATATATCACAGTTCATCATCCCTCCCCCATTACCCATCAAAAATGCACTTTTGCACTTCCCAAAACACTCCAAGCCTCAGGAAAAGGTGCAAACTGTGTAGCCAGGGTATGGACTATTTAAAAAAAAAGGAAGAGGAATAACCATACCATATCCTTTGTTTTAAACTGAGCAATGACAATGTCAGTATGTCAGTATCTATGATGAATTCATGCAAGCTTTTTATAAGAATACTTCTCAATAACTGCTCTTACACTCTCATGCTCTTTATACGTATCTGTGGCTTCATAATGGAGCCTTTCTTTGCACAGATTTAGCTGATGCCTTTTTTAGCATTATTATTTTGCAGTGAATAGTTCCATATTTTTGACCAGAGAGAAAGAGAAGCAAGACTGTCTCCCAAGACCAGTAAATCAGAAAGAGTTCACTGTAGGAAATCTAATGACTGGTAACTGGCCTCTTTGCTGCTATCAACGATTGTCAGCATGACTCAAAATAGCAAGAGAAACAAGTAATTGTACTCACAAATTTCAGTTGCTTAGTATATATTTGTATATTCTGCTAACAAGCAGTCTGCTGGAGTGCACTTAGTGTGTATTCTGCAAATCTCAAAAATCTTATCAGTGACTTCTTGCTAGCCTAGAGTCTACAAAAAAGAGGGAGAGAGGAATCCGGGCAATGCAATCCCTATGCCCTTCTTCTGGCATTCAAAGGGAAGTTCAATTGGAAGTTTGTTTTTATTCATTCTCAGTGTGAACTTTTTGGCAAACTGTAAAAAATTGCTTCTGGAAATATATTTCATTTACTGAAAAAATGCAGAGCATCAAGGACAGATTAAAATCACAGACTGAAAATGGTTTGAAGGGAAACCCAGGTTTGCCATTCTGCAACATTAGAAATGGCCTTGGGTCTGTTCTTACATGTGAAAACTGCCTTTTTTACATGAGGTGTTTATTGTGAGCTCATGATTCCTTAAACATGGTAGTTCATAGGGCCTCTTCCATGTTTTGCAATCATTTGTGTGTGTGTGTGTGTTGAATGAGGAAAATTTGCAGTGTCCATGAATGGGAACATGAAACCTTAGTGTATTTGTACAATTTTGCTATACCACAGTGCCAGCTAATTGTTTCATTCATCCATGCATTCATTACATTTTTTTATATCACCTAATAGCCAAAGCTGTCTGGGCAATACATAATTTAAAGACAAAAAATACAGCATAAAATGAAGGATAAAATTAAATAGTTAAAGCTATGGTAGAAAATAAATGTTTGTACAATAAAACATATAGAAAGGCAGAGAAAGAATCATGTAAAGGATTTGACTGTAATCCAATGAAGTATCAAGAAGCAGAAACCTTAGGAAAGGAGCAAACAAAAAGTCTCTTGTAGAAACACACTTTTGAGTTGCTTTTGTGTAATTTGGGCACATGTGCACATTAATGCAGGAAGAACATAGAACTGTGAAAGTGGTCAGAGCTTAGTTTGTACCGTTAACCTGAATGACCTATAATTAAATCACACAAAATGTCTATGAAATATTAATCACAGGTGTAAATATACCATGTATTTGCAGTATACAAAAATATTGTTGCTCTTCAGTAGAGAGACAACAGTAGTATAATGTTGCCACCTTGTGCCCAAGGCTGGAACAAATGTTTAAGTCAAGCACTTAATACAAGCACTGTATGTATTTGGTCTGTTTTGCAGCTGTGAGAGCTGAAATACTCAAGGTTCTGAATGCCTGAGCTTAGCGAAATTATGGAGGAATCTTGTTCTAAAATCAAATACCCCCATTTCTTCATGAGCTTAATGTCAATTAAAAATATCCAGCCTAGTTTTAGTAATATAAAATCATTCCTATTTATATTCATGTTTTCCCAAGTTGTTTGATCTCGGAATATTAGAGAGTTCCAGTTTAAAGATTAAAAAGTCAATTATATTGGGTTGTAAAGTTCCCTTCACGTATTGGCAGGACTTCCACATGATTAAAGAGGTGTTGGCTCTGCTTCCAAGATCATACAGCTCTCTGATTCCTAGTGTCCACATACTGAGCATGGACATCTTCAGGGAGGTAAGCTACCTGAAAAGGTTCATCTAGGAGCTAGTAGGATTCCAGCTCTTTTTGTGCTCTATGCATGTAGATCTATGCATCTGTCCCCTGAGGGATCTCAGCACATAGACATGGGCATGGCCAAGGGCACATAGCATGAAAAACTCAATTCAAATTCACTGTGTATCGTTTAACCACTTCTGTAGTAATGTAACAGTGTGTATATACTTACGATATGCATCAAAGTTCTTTGGAAGAGATCATATTGCATTGGCATTTTACAACATTTATTTCAAAACTGTACCATTTTTACTCATGAAAATTATTTGACAATATCAGATTGCTTCAGCACTAATATTAATATCCAAAAGTTATGAACCATGAATAATCCAGAGTTCACAACCCATAAAATCATGGGGTTTGTTCCTGGATTATTTGTGGTTAATAACCCATAGTCAAACCATAGTGCAGGGTTTGTACATGAGGCAAAACCATGACTCAATAACCACCCATATTCAGAGCATACTGTGGTTTGTCATTATGTACGAACCAAACTTGCAGCACGTAAGTTGTTGATGTTAATTTTTTACAGTGATGTCAATGGAACCTAAGTACTAAGCACCTAAGACCACACCCATCCCATAAGTTATGGAATATGACCAGGATTGTGGAAATGGGCAAAAGGCATATATTCTTGGGGAAGGTTTTTTTTTTTTTTAACTAATGGATAAAAATATGAAAGGGGAAAAATGAGTATGTCATCCAGAATGAGACATAATTTTTGCCTGTCTCAAGTGATTTTGCATTAATTATCCATGGAACAAGTTCATTTTTGAAAGTTTAGATATTTCAGAAAAATATACTTATTTTTTAAAACCACATTGCTCTCTATATTTCATGATTTCTTTCTACGGTTATTTTTACTAATGTATTTTTTTAAAAAACAGATGTTCAGGCTGGCTGATGAAGGACAGTATGACAAAATGGAATGTATTTGCTGAATTACCTGCATGTTAACCCAAAGCTAGGCCATAGTGCAGTGTTCATAAGTAGTAGCAATCCACGATTCAACAACAACCTGTACTCAAGCTGTACTCTGGTTTATCATTCCATGTGACTCAGGTTACCGATTTCTTAGAAGCTAAGTGAAAGTCAGTTAGCCTGGATCCAGCCCTGTATAATTATCACCTTTTCCCAAGCCAGCTCCCAAGCTTGCTCACGTGAGGATCTTCTCTGAGCGAATCTCTGTCAGCCTCAGTCATCCCTAGCTTGTACAGTCTGGGAGATAATACCTGATGTAAGTTGATCAGTGAAAGATCCAGTCCAAATAAAAGGAAGTACTTCTTCACACTGTTCATAGTCAAATTATCCAATTTACTTTCACAAGATATAGTGATAGCCTTAAAGGGGGAGGGATAACTTCCTGGAGACCCAGGCAGTCAATGGCTCCTGCTCCTGATGGCTCTGCGCTACTTCCAGTATCAGAGGCAGAATGCCCACGTGCACCCTACTTCTGGATTTCCTGTGGGCAGCTGTTTGGCCACTGTGTGAAAAGAATGGACTCTTGGTCCAACCCAGCAAAGCTCTTCTGTTGCCATTGTAGGGCATGGCGAAAGAACAGTGGTGTGCTAATAGTGGGTGCCTCTGAGCATAAGGACATTGCTGTCCAGCCACAAAGAATCCACAATTTGCTTTTGATTCATCATGGCACCTGTCTTTGATTAGATTGGATCTGAATTTAAAATTGAGCTCCATTTTCCAGTGAGGATTTGCAGTGCATTAATGTTAAATGTTAACATTAATGTTAAATATATTAAAGCAGAATTAAAAGCTCTGTTCTCACCATTAAACAGCCTGTCAACTGAACTTCATTTTAATGTCTCTTGCCCTTCCTTTTCTTTACAGAGAAACTCTTTTCAGTGCAAATGCCAGAGCCTTGAAGGGACCAATTGCCTCCGTGCCTAGCAGCACAACACCAAGAACAGCACCTTCTCCTTATAACATGGGCCCTGATGGTGGTTTCCTAAGCGCTGGGATGCTTCATGTCATCATATGGGGAGGCTTGGCAGCCATGACAATGCTGCTGTTCTTCACTTTTCTTATGTTCCTCTGCTCCAGCTGTGAGAGGTAAGGTCTTAGCCAATAAGGGTGCAACAAGGGCACAGGGAGGGATGTGGTTTGACCCTCCTAAGCCCCGCACTGTGGAACAGCAACTCTCCAAGCTTTTCTGGGGTATCTACTGTGCCCTGCTGAAACTCTTCAAGAGATAATAGGGTGAGCCTGCCTATTCTTATTGCTGGCAAGGGGAGACTCTTCAAACAAAAATCCTGCTCACCTGAAAGCGTTCAAATGCTTTAAAGAATTCAGTTGCCCGTGTGTCTTGGAGACTGTGTATATGAAGACATGTGAACACTAGGCCTTTCTGCATCGGGCTGATAATCCGCCGCGTCTCCTGTTGGTTTCTACTGATCCTGCTGCAGCAGGAAGTGATGCAAGTGATGCAGCAGCATCAGGTGGAAGACTTCTGAGGTGGGTGGGGGTGATGGTAATGCAAGTCCAACAGACACCAGGTTGCAAGAAGTTGAGCCAGAGTGTACCACTTCAGGTTGCAGGGAGAGGGGTTTTTTACATGTTCTTCCAAGTTAGTAAATAAATAAATAAGTGGAAGACATACCAGCACATCAGGGAGGACATTTCTGACACAGTCTGCTCCTTCTTGTGTTTAGGTTTTATTTTGTTTGTTTTGTGCAGAAAATTATTTACATGGAGCAGATTCAAAAATATACAGTGCTACCTTGGCTCACGAACTTAATCCATTCCAGGATTCTGGTTGTAACCAAATTGGTCATGAACCAAGTTAAATTTCCCCATACAGTTCAATGTAAATAATGTTAATCCGTTCTGTAATCATTTTTTAAATCAGAAAAATGTGAAGCAAAGTGACAAGAACAAAGATTGCAGCCATCTCCCCACCCCACCCCACCCCACCCCGAGCACAAGTGCAGCCATCTCCGAGATCACACCTGTCATCCCTGCAGGCGTCCATCCGGCACACACCTGTCATCCCGGTGCCCTGAGGGATAGGGGGGGGAAGAAGGGCGCGATTGCCGGCGCACTGGGGGAGGAAGAGACAGGCACAAACGGGGGTGCGCTGGGGAAGGGAGAGACAGGCGCGAACAGGGCGCACTGGGGGAGGGAGAGATGGGTGCGATCGTGCTGGTTGGCGGGGGGGATGGCCGAGATTGCGCCCGTCTTTCCTGAAGGAGTACACCTGTGATCACACACACCTTCCCTGCTCCCTGCACGAAAGCAACAGTGATCATGGCCACCTCCGCCCACCCCCAAGTGGGGAGATGGCCACCATCGCAGTTCCATTCATGCAGGGAAGACATGTGTGATCACGGGCGCACTGCTGCAGGAAAGACTGGCACAGCACAGCCGCAGGGGAGATGGCCGAGACTGCACCCGTCTTTCCTGCAGGAGCACGCCTGTGATCATGCACGCCTTCCCTGCACGAAAGCAACTGCGATCGTGGCCATCTCCCCACTCGGGGGGGGGGGGGAGATGGCTGCGATCTTGGTTGCCACCCAATGCAGAGTTTGTGACCCAAGTCAAAATTTTAATGAAATTTTTGTTTGTGACCCGATTTGTTTGTGAACCAAGGTGTCCGTGAGCCAAGATACCACTGTAGTTCCCTCATGTACCGTCTGAAGTGGTACTATTTTACTACTTCAGAATTCTTACCCCAGCTCTCTTACCATTTTGCTGCTTTTATAGACTAGATCTCCCTGCTTCAGATAGGTCAAACAGCAACCACATAGCTGAAGCTTATTTCAGCATAATTATAGTGGGATTATAATAATGCTAATACTAATGCACGTTCCACATTAGATTTCATTTTTGTAGGCAGAATCTGAGCCAGATTTCAAAGGCCCTTGAACAAGCCAATCTCAAGCTGTGGTTACAGGCTGCTGTTGATCTTCCACATCCTCTTGCTCATCATTGCTACCATATCCTTCTTTGCACCTGAGAGAGCAAGTAGGCGGTGGAGTCAGCTCCACCACCATTGTCAAAGCAAAAGCCCGGTGAAATTACAGCCTGCAACGATGAAGGGGGAAAGGAGCAATTCTTGGGGTCTTTGTCAAAAGGCCTCTGCTAGGGTGTGGGCCCCCAGCTGGAGTACAGACATGTGCACCCTTGATGAGGTTGAAAAGGGCTTTGAAAATCAAGGAAAGATTTTCACATAGAGATGTATGAGATCAAGTTCAGTTTTAATCTACACTTTGAGTTTAACTGGAATTAATATTAATCAATCACCCTGTATATGTAATCTTCATGTAGTGCATGTTGATCAATATGTAATACTTAATGTAGTGCATTGCTAATTAGCTGAACAACAAAACCTAAATATATCCATCCTTAAAATAAGTAGATTTGCTCTTTTTTTTGTTCATATAAAAGAGTAAATTGAAAAAAACCTAGGAACCAGGTAGTTAAACTTGTTCTGAGTAAATATCCCTGAAGTCCCTAAGAGGAGAACATGAAGATTTTTTTTATATCAATTAGTCTGCTGGGACAAGCTATGCAAATCCTATTGCTAGACATTATCTGGCAATCATACTTTAATAATTTAACATGTTACTAGGCTGGATGTTGCATAAGGATATTTCTGTAGCAGGTACTTGCCCAGAAATGCAATTAAACCAAATCCCTTCATTCTTGGAATAGTTTCACATATGCTGTTGATATAATCATTGATGACATTAAAACACAGATGCTTTGTCAGAAAAGCTTCTGGGAGCAAATTAGCAACTACAAACATGAATCATATTGTGTATTGCATGGACAGTATCATGAATTTTAAATGGCATAATTATACTGCTTTCAGTGAAATATGTTTTTAGAAGTACAGCTAAGTTAATGTGGGATTTGCCACAGAGTTCAGTAGGATAGTGAAATGTAAATATTCTGTTTCAGAAATTTTCATATAAAGAAATGCAATGTCCCCATATGACTGCAGCGGCTTGTGTTATTTGTATAATATTCCACAACATTAGAGTTGCAAAGGTATTTTAGCAACTGATGGGCACCATCTGAAGTATTTATGAGGGGTGTTCAATGTATTCTCAGTATCAGGTTGATTTGCTATTGATGTGGGTAATTTAATTATTTCTTTAGCTAATGACACTATCTGAGGGTATACATGCAAAAATTCAAATAAGTGTGATCATTAGTTAGACCCTAGTAATCCTCAGTGAAAGACGACCATGATGACTGACACAACAATGTTGAAGAAAATCGAGCACCGCGCTGTGATTAATTTCCTTACAAAATAAGGAAAAAGTCAAAAAATCATTCACGAAGAGATGGTGGCTGCTTACCAGGACTCTGCACCTTCATTATCTACTGTTCAAAAGTGGTCAAGTGAATTTAAAAGGGGCAGAGAAAGCACTGAAGACAACCCTCACTCGGGTGGGCCGGTTACTGCCACTACAAAAGAAAATGTGAAAAAAATTGAGAAACTTGTATTGGAAGATGCCCGAATAAAAATCAAAATGTTAGCAGAAATAACAAACCTATCCATTGGTACCATATTTACTATTCTTCATGACCATCTTAACCTTTCAAAGGTCTATGCAAGATGGGTGCTGCGAATGCTCATGGCTCCTCAGAAACAAGTGCGAGTTGAGCGCTGTAGGGAATTTTTAGAGCTCTGTGGTGAAGATCCATCGAGTATTTTTGACTGGATTGTTACTGGAGATGAAACTTGGCTTTGTCACTATGACCCTGAAAGTAAGCAGGAGTCCATGCAGTGGCATAAAAAAAGGTGCTGACCCTCCAAAGAAAGTCACTCCATCGGCCGGAAAAACCATGGTCACAGTGTTTTGGGACTCAAAGGGAATTTTATTGATCGAGTACACGAAAAAAGGTGAAACCATAAATGCAGCATCTTACACAACCACTCTGCATAATATAAAAGAAGCAATTAAAGAAAAAAGGTGTGGAAAACTGACCGCAGGTGTGTTGCTTCTTCACGACAACGCGCCCGTTCACATGGTGCGTGTTTCGAAAGCTGCTGTGCGAGACTGTGGTTTCAAAGAAATAAACCAGCCACCCTATAGCCCAGACCTGGCCCCCAGTGACTACTACCTATTCCCGAATTTAAACAAAGATCTTCGTGGAAAGCGATTTTCTGATGATGAAGAGCTCAAGGTGGCAATTAACGCACATTTTTTAGATAAGAAGGAAGGGTATTTTTTACAGGGAATTGAAAAGTTAATTTCTAGATGTAATAAGTGTATTGAAGTTATGGGGGATTACATTGAAAAATAAAAATTATTTCAATTTATTATTCTTTGTTCTTCATGCTGATACCGAGAATACATTGAACACCCCTCGTATCTCTGGTCTCAGGACCAGACCACTCTTCACATGTAGCCATGCCCAACGTTCCCCAAAATGCCTAACTTTCCCACTAATGAGACCCCATTCCTCAGGTCGAGGCTCAGGTCTGTTTGTTTTCTGTTAAAAAGCAAAATCATCTGGGGGACATTTACTATGTTAGTAAAATGTGCAATATGCTGAACATGTATCAAAATGCCAAGATCAATGGATAATTTGAAACAAACACTAAGTGTTTGCGTTGTTATCTATTTGTAAGCACTGTTCAGTTACAGAATACATTCTACAAAGGATTTAGTTCCAAAAGGATGGGCAGCTGTTAAATATCTGAAGGAAGGAAGGAGGAAGGAAGGAAATCCCAAAGATTATTTTTGCATGTACTTTCTTAGCCTTTAAGATCCTGGGGAAAATGTTTTTACAAAGGTGTGGCTAGAAGCATTATAAACATTTTCAGACAACTGAACTTCTTCAGATGATAATTGAATGCTATTGTTCAAAATGATCACTTGCCATATGGATTATATATATTCTTTATATATTCCAAATGAGAAAGTTCACTACTATCCCATTATATTTACTGTAGGCATGCATAAAGAATGTGAGCAGTGGGCATGCTTTTTTGGTCTTCTTCATCCTCCTATTGCTGTCTAAGAAAAGCTAAAAGGAGCACTGGCTGCAGCTGAACCATAGCTGCTTTTCTTTTGGAATACTTTAAAAAGCCTGCTGCAGTCCAGGCTGGAATACATTAATAAATCTGTCAGATGCAAAATTCCCTCTAAATATGTGCAAATGGCTCACTAGGTGCTTGAATCATTTGGTAAATCAATCCATATTTTTAGTTAGACTACAGGCTGAGATTTGCCACAGAAACTGCCTTGGTTGTCCTATAACACTACCTCAGAACAAAGAATGGAGGAATGTGACTTTCTGATACTATGATAGCCTTCTGGAACAACTGTATGAATTGGAAGTGGGAGGTACTATGTTGCAATGCTTACATTCCCTCTTGGAGGATCAACTCCAGAAGGTGGTGCTTGGGGGAAATTGCTGGGACATGGACCTTCTAGAAAAATGTTCCACATGGTTTTGTACCTCATGGTCCTTAATAACTCCATGAAACCTGAGTAGGGTCTTCTGGAGTTTGGGAATACATGGCCATCAGTGTGCTGATGACATGCAGCTCTTTCTCCTTTTCATTTTCAATAGGTGATTGATGTACCAAGTCAATGCCTTGGTGTTCCAATGGACTGGATGAGGGCTATTGAACTGAAACTCATCTCAGACATGCCTGAGATGCTATTAGTGGGTGGTACATTTGACTGAGTGTAACCTGTTCTGGATGGGGTTGCATTCCCCCTGAAAGAGCATGTTCAATGCTTGAGAATTCTCCTGGATCCATCATTGCCAATTGAGGCTTCTGTGGATTTAGTGGCACGGAGTATACTTTCTAACAGCTTAAGCTGGAGGCCTAGCTACGTTGCTACCTGACCAGGAATGACCTGGCTTCAGGAGTCTATTGTCTGGTAGACTCCAAATTATATTACTGTAATGCACTCTGCGTGAGGCTGCCTTTGAAGAGCCACTAAATGTGGGACACAGATTGAAAGAAGGAGGTCTGAACATATAACTCTTATCTGAATTATTTGACCACAACACCTGACAGAGCACTTCTCCCAGTAAAAACCTCCACTTGCATTATTACTGTCCATGGATGCCTTCCTCCAGGTACCTCCTCCATGGGAAGCTTGAATGATTGAGACAAGGCCTTCTCAGTGGTGGCCCCCCGATTGTAGAACATCAGAGAATTCCACCTCACACCAACAATGTCATTTTCTGGTGCTGGGTTATGATCCTCCTGTAGACTTGGGCAATTGATGGCATGTGATGGGATTTTAATGGCAGTTGTATTCTCTTGTAACTGTTTTCAGCTGATTTTTTATTTTACATTTTGTATGCCATTTTTTTCTGTTTTTCTCATTTTTTGAAACAACCAATATTAAAACCAAAAGATGAAATATGTTTAGTCTAGGAAGCTAAAAGTCTTAACAGCCCCAATCAATCTAAATTCAGTCATACTTAAGCCCATTTCAAGTCAATAGGAGAAATTACTAATGAGTAATTATGCCCGGTTGATATCAATGGGATTTCAGTTGGACTGGAAATAATATTATGAAACAGTGCTTGCTGTAAGCTGAATTTTAGACATATTAGGATTCTTTTAACAATATACCTAAATATTATTTGCATTAAAGGGAGAAGAGACCCAAGCAGCTGAATGGGGACCATGAAAATCTGATGAATGTGGTAAAAAAACACTTATTTTCAAGTGCCTTCTTTATATAGTTCAGAGCCTCATATAAGGGAAAATATGAACATATGGTGGTTTTAACTATTACACAATGTGTTTTCACATGTGCATGCATGCCATGAACTTCAGAGCTAAGAATTCATTTGTATTAATCCTGTCAGGAATTTAATAAATGACAGTGGTACTATTTCACAGAGAAGGTAACTGACTCTTCCATGATTGCCTATTTAGTTAATGGCTAAACAGAAGCACTTCTTTAGTCAATAGTATATCCAACCTGTACACTAAGCAGCTTGCACATCTCTGACCAGTGTGTGTGTACATTATAATGTATTGGTAGTGCAGACTGTAATTGCATATTGTTGGCAGAGTGTGATCCAAGTATGATTTCCCTCTGAAATGAGGGGTTACAGACTTCAACATCATGCAAGATTATTTCTTTTTTAATTAACTAGTTCCATGTAGCCTCATTTAAACATTGATACAAAACCAATGTATAAAAACCTTTTAAAACACCATAACAAAATTTAATGCACCTAACAGAACCTACAAAATGTAGCATTTGCCTTATTGAGAACTTTAATATTTATCTTCTTCTAGTGGATATAGAAGGCAGCTGTTTGCACATTTGGGAAAGTGGATGACTCTCCCTACTGGCTGACCCTGCTTTGCAAGGAGCCCTCAAACAAGCTCCTGCAGGCTAATTGTGACCTGAACACCTGGTCTGTCAAGCACACTGGAGAGGGTTTGAGACTCTTTGTAGAAGACCCTCTAAAGTAAAAAGGGGAGATTTGCATTTTCTTGCCATAAAGCCTGAAAGTAATATCATTTAATAAAATCTTGAGGCATGTCCTTAAAATACAAGGTGCAACTTTGCAGTTGTTTAGCCCTGGATATTAGAGGATGTTTTAGAAATTGTTTTAAGACACTGCAGCCAAATGTAAAAAGAAATTGAGGATAGGCAGGGAGAGAAAGGAAAAGTGAAGAACAAGAGAACACTCACACACTTTTTCTCTTTTGGGTGGGAGGTAGAATCTAACATGCAATTAGTTTGATAGTTACATGTTGTGTACTTGAGTTGATTCCTGAGTTTCAGAGTAACTATAGATCTGTTGAAGAGAAAGGTTCCAAAACAGATAGATTAGATATTGCTAGGAATAATAATTTTTAAAAAGTGTCACCCACTTCTGATAATCTGAGAGCAGGAAAGACTGCCCCTTAGTGGAGGCAGACCATGGTTTTACCTAAGTCCATTTCTGATATCAGTAGTCTAGCCATGTCAAAAGAGCTGGACAATTCCAGCTTGATGCAGCGCTGTGAATGAGATTAAGAGAACGGTTCCTTAAGAAGGAAACCTCTGATACTGGAGGTGACTGAATATCCTGCCAGGCTGCTGCCAGCAGACAGGCAAAGCAACAGAGGACATTTTTGCCTCTTTGCCTACCTTCTAAACATTTTAAAGCCCATTTAGAAAGGGTGCATTGATAGGGGCTGCAGAGGTTATAGGATTTCCCCTCCCCTCCCCTCTCACTAGGATGCACCCTTTTCATAAGAACCACCCTTCAACCCAAGGATCCATTCTGTTCATACAGTGGCCAGGCAGCTAACCATGGGAAACCCACAAGCAGGACCTGGTTGTGACAGCACTCTTCAGTCTATGCGTGCCTCTGTCTCTGATGCTAGAATCACCATATAGCCAGCAAGATTAATACCTATTGATAGCCTTCTCCTCTGTGAAACTTCCTTCCCTCAAAGGCCACATTTGGAACCTCAGAGAGCAGGTGAACTGGACCCCGTGGTCCAGTTCTCCATGGGGTCTGCTAGAGGGCCAGGGAAGAAGATAGCAGCAGCAGTGTCTACAACCTCAGGAGGAGAACTCCAAACAATACTGTGACCCCTTGAATATCCTCCCAGGGACAGTAGGATTGCATTCATACATTTTGGACATGTGTTCAGAGCCAAAATGCAGGATTTTGCATATCCATTATTTTTCATAGGGTGGCAACACACCAGGCACTCTAGAGACCACTGTTACAAAGAATAGACCTTGACCCCCATTTAATCCACAGAATCCAGCTATTACTCAGGGTACCTATTTCCCATACTTTAATGCAGTTCTCTTGTTTGAAGTATTTGTTTCCTTTTCTAGTACTGTGGTATGAAAGAAAAGTGCCTATGAAAAAAGAATGTTTATTTAACTTCCTTTAAATTGATCAAGAGAACAATGTTAGCATCCAGCAAGAAAGCCTGTTGTTTAATCTTCTGAACTGCTGTTTTCTTTATCACATATCTTTGTTCTGAATATATGCATTAATTTCACTCACATACAGACATGTTAGAAGCACATCTGCCTTATTTCAATAGATGAAAAACTGGTCTGTGGAATGTGGAATGTTTGGAGTATAAACAATTAGCAAGTCTAAAATGAAATGTACTTAATAGGCATAGGCCAATGCTGAAAAGTAGGTCTCATTTCATAACTGTTATTCCTGCATAATAAACCATGCCCTTACCTGTTCCAAGTGATACGTTAATCCATGCATTTTGCTTTTCAGCCTTCAGATAAGGAGGCATTTAGCCACTCGATCACAAGTCTGACTACAGATCCACTTGCCAGCAGTGAACAAAATGGTGGGCTCAGTAATGGTGATGGTAAGACTTGACTTCTCATCATGTGATCTCTCAACTAGTTGTGTGAACCAACCCTATCTTGTGCTTGAAAAATGGGACTTCTGTCTTTATCCATTCAACTTAATGCTGAATGGATCAAGTTATATATGAATTAAGCAAGCGAGAACCACAGATACACTAATGTGAATAGCTTCAACACAAATGTGTCATTTATTTATATATTTATATAAATATAAACTTTTGGCCCTTAAACCCTTTTCAGGGTGTATTAAAGGAAGAGTGCCACTCAATGTGCCTACTTTAAACTGGCAAGATTACACAGGCATCTGGTGGAGGAGGAGAGGATTGCTGAAGCAAGGATTTCCTCAGCACCTCTCCCACCCTCAAAAACTTTTATGACAGCCAATTTCAGCTGTCTGTTTTGCACCTGCTTGTGAGAATGCAAGGCTTAGATGCTGCCAGGACACAATGTATCCTGCCTGAGCCTTACTCCCAGCCTCCCCATCCCCTGGAATGCCCCCTCCTAAACACCCACTCTGAGGTCAGTCTTGTAAGCTTGGAGCCACAGCCAGCATGGCAAGAACCACAGCCGGGAGGGCATGCTTTGTGGTTGCCGTTCTAGCCCTGACCTCAGAATGCATTCCCATAGGATGTGCCCTAGGCAGGCTGAAGACACAAGGAGAGGGAGCATGCTGAACAATCAGTGTTCAAAATCATCTGTGAAAGCAGCCATGGAAGAAGGGCTCTTTTCTTTAGCACACTGCTTTCTGTGAGTGCAGGGTGACAGAGGCATGCAAAGAGACCAGACAGTGCACTTTGTCTTTGTGAATTTACTTTTTTCTGCTTAATAATAGAATAAGCATAACAGAATAATGCCTGAAAATGAAAAATTACTGAGAAACACTGAAGTTCATGAAACTAAGTTCACCTGATATCTCTTCAGAGGCTGTTTCACAGTTGAGGTGGAGGTGCACAGTAGAGCCAGTGGTGTAGTGGTTAAGAGTGCAGGGCTGGGAGTCAGGTGGTCTGAGTTCTTGCCTCCACTCATCCATGGAGCTCACTATGTGACAACGAGCCAGTCACAGACTCTCAGCCCAACCTACCTCGCAGGATTGTTGTTGGAAGGATCAGACTGAAAGGAGAATTGTGTTAAGCCACCTTGAGTTCCTTGAAGGGAAAAAGGTAGGTTATAAATATAATAAGTAAACTTAATCTGTTCTGATTAGAATGGTTTACACTGCAGTATTGTCCAATCCTCAAATAATCTGGATTAAAACAAGGGACAAGTAATCATGGTTTATTTAAACCCCAGTGGCTGACACTAGCCCACTGAATTAAGTTAAATGTTAAAGACACAGGATAGCTTAAAGCGAAAGTGAGTACAGGTGGCAGGCAAGAGCAGGCACAGGGCTTGTCAACAATTTGGTTTTCGACTGACAACAGCATATATGTAATTCTTTCATTCCAGGGTATCTCTTCTTCTACTTGCACTACCATTTCTGGAAAACCAACACTTACATGTTTTTTGAAAAATTCTGGTAAAAGGAGGTCCTCAGTGAATTCAGCTCCTTGCCTAATGTCTGTCTGTCAAGCATGGACAATCTGAGTCAAGGGAGCCTATGGTCTTTAAAAAAAAAAATGATGTGACTATCATGGGTCTCTATTAGGCCAAGCCAGTAACTGATACAGGCCCCATCCCACTTTCTGAGCATGCTTCCTTCATTTTTTAAGGTTGCTTTGCTTCAATAATTTTGTTTTGTAATGTCTAATATCTGTAGTTCTCTACTGTACTTGCAAGTCCATTTAGGTAATTCCCTGCCCTTTAAACAAAACAAACAAAAAAGTGAAGTGCAAAATTGTTTCATCTCCTGAAACATTTAGATACTTTTCTTACCTTTATTTTGTATTCATTTCAAAGGATAAGCTGTCCTTTTAAATGAAATACTTTGCATTTATTTAAAGGATTTTTAGGCTGTCTCCCTGTCATGGTTGCTAAGGTGATTAACAAAGCAATGCAATAATAACAACAGAGTGCAGTTAAAAACAGCAGCTAAAAACAACAGCAAAACCAGAAATGGAGGGGAGAGAGCTTATTAACATGCTTAGGGGAATAAATTCATCTTCACTTGGTACAGGCACACAGTGCTTGTCCCTAGGAAGAGTTTTCCACAACAGGAGTACCACTGCTGAAAAGGCCCTGTCTCCAGGCACTACCTACTGCTCCTTTGAAGGCAGTGACAGGTGGCAGCACTGATGCAGCTGTTAATGAATGAAAGGAACAACTCATGTCTTCAAATAGCTGTTATTAAAAAGGGAAAGCAACCTGGATCCATGCTATTTCCTTTGCACATCTTTCTATCTCTGTACAACTGGCAGTAGTGCAATGAGGAAAACTTTTCTCTTTCCTTCTGAAAAATGAATATCTGTACAAGTTGTAAACAAAGCTAATTGCATCAAGATGACCTACAAGGTCATGACAGCTGTATACAAGTCCCACTAACTCTGAAATTCTGTAGTATCTGAAGACAAAGATGCATTGTATGAGTATTTAACTGTTGTCTTTTGACAAGGATATGCACATTCCTTGCCAAGTTATGTTGTGTTTAAATAGGGATGTCTGACAAGGATTAAGATGACTAGAAAGGGGTGTTTCTTCAGTCTTGCCTCCTCTCTTTCCAGAAGGGTTCTTTTTGATGAGAAAGCCACCACCTTTAGTGAATCAAGACATTATCTAATACATGCTTCAAAGAAATCAAACTTTTCAACAGAATCCTTATTAAAGGGCTTACTCTTTACTGAGTAATATAGAAGTAAAAGTAATAAGATTATTCCATTTATCTGTTAAATTCATTCTGACTTACTTTAAATGGCAGACTGAAAGGCATTGTGGGGCAAGCACAGATAGTTCAGTCTACCTGGCAACCATATTGTATAAATCTCTTCCCACAGGATTCCCCCACCACAGGTATAGCATCTCTGTCTTTCGCAACAGATAGATGTTAGTGGGTTATAAACATGCCCCATTCATTTCAGTGTGTCTACTCTAAATACAGTTGTGTTTGTATGGTAGGAAGTGGGCCAGTTCATTTGTAACAAAAATATAGGTTACATAAGCCATAAGCTGCCAGAGATGAGTGGGAGAGAACTTGTTGTTTGCAGTGTACCAGCCATTTTTCTTTTTTTTATTAACAACCCATGATCAGTCCAGTCACTGGTTGCCATACCTGACTCTGGAGTGCTGGGTTTGTAGGAGCTTAATAACACAGCAGTTAACCCAACAACAAACCATGGGTCAACTTGAGTTGTTTAGCCCCTAAATAACTCAGCATTCTGCCTTTGCATATCACATCCAACAAACTTAGGTGTGGGGTGTCTGTAAGCTATTGCTTAAAAATTGAAGCAGTGGCCACGCATGAAGCCGGTTTCCTGCTCATGTATGACAACCCAGGAATTACTTAAACCATGGGCTATTGTTACATGGGCTTTGCTACATGTGAACCAGTTCAGTGTCATGTGGTCCTGGAGTTGCTTATCCTATGTGTTTATTTTTCTCCTAGTGCTTTCCGAAGACAGCACAACTGCTTGCATCCAGCCTTATGAAGAAGTACAAACCTCTGTTACAGATCTCTTGGATCAACAGGACAGTTTGGGAAAGTCATTAAAATATCATCAAAGCCGTGAACTACCCAGAATTCCTCCAAACAATGCCATAGAAACTACTATTTCTACAAAAAATACAGAAAATGATCAGGGTCTAGGAATGGAGGGGCCCTATGAAGTGCTGAAAGACAGCTCCTCTCAAGAAAACATAGTTGAAGACTGCTTGTATGAAACTGTGAAGGAAATTAAGGAGCTGGGAGCAGCGGGCAACACAGAGAAGAGCAAACCAAAAGCAGCTGTGACGGTTAATGGAAGTCCAGACCATGTTCTTGAGCGCAAGACTGAATCAGCTGAGTATGCCTCGGTTGACAGAAATAAAAAAAGCCGCCAGAGTGGGAATTCAGAGAGTCCTCTTAGCAACACTCCAGATGTAGAAGATGAAGCCCCACCGCCAGTACCAGTGAAACTCCTTGATGAAAATGAGAATGTACAGGAAAAGGTAGCCAAAGAGGAGGAAGAGGTGACAGAAGGGACTAGTGAACCTGTTAAGGTACAGCTTACATTGCTTAATCATAAAAGAAGAGTGTATAATCACTTGAGTCAGGTTTCCAGTATTTTGTGTATGCTGTGGTAAAGTTGGAAATAGAAGTGATATTTGTTTACTCCCCAGAGTCAGTGGGGATTTTCTAGCATTTTCTTCTGTCTTAAAATCTTAAGAACAGAAAGATTTATCATGTTTCTAACATTACTTTAATATTTATTGAATTGTCTGTATTCACGTTTACATATGTAAATGTGAAATAGCTACTGAGGACAAGGAATGGATGCATTTCGTGTGGTTTCAAGACTATTAAAAAGCAATGTCTTCTCAAATGTTTGCAGACATTTTCACAAATGATTATTTTTCTTCAAATGTTGTACAAGCAGACATATTACTTGCCAAGTGGTTGTTAATTAGTCTGTCTCTTGTTAAATTGTTCCAGTTAGTGTAGTCTAAAAGCATAAGTAACTCAAATAGCAACAGAAAAAACAGGGGAAAACAGAATTCCTGACCTCCAAATTACTGATATAACTGAGAGCAGAGAAAAGTTTATCTCACAATTTATTTAGCCCAGCTGAATTAATAGAATTAGTTTAGATTAAATGTATTATGGACTACATTGTCTGTTCCAGGGCTAAGCATATCAGCCTGTCTTCCTTTAGGTCTTCACAGTTAAGGTATTGTTCAAAATAGTTTTTTAACATCTTAAGACATCAAATTAAGGAGTCACTTCTCCCTATCAATCTGGTACAGAGTATAATACTTTAGAATTATAGTTGTTCCCTTTTACTTGTTTTAATGTGTAAACTATTTTTCTTATACTGTCTTGTTTCTGTTTTTTGCATCTCCAATATAATTAAATTTGATAACTAAATTATGAAAGAAAACAAATCTGTAGCATGATCAGGATCTGTGACACCAGAATTCACAAATTAGTTAAATACCTCAGGCAGCAATCCTCTACACACTTACCTAGGAATAAATTCCATTAGGGAGTACTTTTGAGTAGACATGCATATAACTGTATAATCTGTTGAACAGTTAATCCCTCAAGAGAGATTTCTAAGTGAAAAGATAACTTTTAGCAATTCAGCCAACTATAATTTCTAGGATTCTTTAGAAGTCACAGTGGTTACGGTTAATGGTAAAGATATAACCTTATGGTGGTGTTTCATATACCAAGGAGGCAGCTGTGTTTTTGCCCATATTTGTCTATCTCACAAAGGAACTGCATACAAATGTCTTAAATAAATAAATAAATAAATAAATAAATAAATAAATAAATAAATTTGTCAATACTTTACCACAATAATAACATCTTCGGTGAACTCTCATTCACCAAATTAGATCCAGTGGAGGCTCCACTGGAGATGTGAGAAGGTGATTTTCCCTGAAATCCCCTGGAGCGAGCTGTTATGCTGTTCTGGAGGATTCTTGTAAAATCTGCCCATGGTGTCTGGATTCTAGTCCCTGTCCTTTCTAATGGTATTATTTTTGCTGCAGGGATATTTACTTAATTTATTCAATAAATACCAAGCAGACATTTGAGGTCAGAGAGGGGGCCTTTTCTGTGGGTATGCCAAAGTTCTTTAAATCTTTCCAAAGGAAAACTCATTTGCCTTTTGTTTAATAAATTATTTTAAGGACAACTTTTGTCCTTAAAATAATTTTGTCCTAAACTTTTGTCCTAAAATAAATTATTTTAGGACAACTTTCAGGCCATGGCCAAATTTTTAACTCTCTCCTATAGTACAATTTTATACATGTTTACTCAAAAGTATATACATGTTTACTCAAAAGTATATACATGTTTACTCAAAATTATATACATGTTTACTCAAAAGTAAATCCCTTTGAGTTCAGTGGGACTTATTCCAAAATAGGGGGTTCAGGATTGCAACCTTGAAAGAATTGAAGTTCAAATTGATGCCAAAGATCAAATTGCTTTTAATAGCAAATTGTATTTTCCATTTATTCCAAGGCATTTTGTTTTATGGTTAAATTACAACTGTTTGATTTTATTGTTAGCCTTCTTGCATTCTTGCATTCTATGGAGAAAAAGTGGGATATACACTTTTCCAGTAGACATTTACAGAAAATGTATTTGGTCTTTACAGAACAATTCAGACCCTTGATCCATTTAGCTCAGTATTGTCAACACTCTCTGGAGTTTCAGACAGGAGTCTTTCTCAGATCTACCTGAGAGTATTAGGGATTGAACCTGTGGCAATTTATGCAAGGCAAGTGTTTTTGCTTTGTGCTTTTGCCTTTCTCACAGCTTTTCTCCAGCTGTGGGGTATCTTTAAACCAACCTCTAACATAGTATGTATGTGTGTGTTGTTAATTCCTTTGTAAACCACTTTGGAATTTGTTCAATGAGAAGTATACAAATAAGATAGGCAGTAATAACAATAGCAATGCCTTATATTTAATAGAAATAGTCATAGGACGTTATTACAGAAAGTTAATGAGGAACTAAAAACTTAACATAACCCTAGCACTGAGCTCAGAATAATTGATATATTCAACCAATTGCTTAAAAAAATAAAACTGTGCTGCACCTGAATTTTTCAAGGACAGGACAAGGCTAAATTTCATACAGTGTGTACTGAAAGAACAAGTTCTGTGAAGGCTATTTCAGGAGGACTTTCCATCTCTGAAATACATTTCGATTAGGCAAAATGTACTTTTCCCCCAGCTCTTATAGGACTGTTGGGTGTTACTTCTTGATTAGCTTAAGTCCTTCACTTCCCAATTTTTATGCTTCCAGACATTGTATCTGTCTTTTGAGCTGATGATCTTCAGAACAGCTCACGTATTTTTATTTACTTAGGAATCACACTGAAGGTGATGGGCTTTTTTTTAGGGGAGGGGGGTGTAATTTCTCTGACATCGCAGGTGTACTATGGTTTATGCCAGGATGGGCAAACTACAAAGTTATGGATGCCATTTTCATTCCCTTTGCTTCTGGCTGCAGTGTGCAGTGATCTCACCAACCACCAGAAGTGCTGAAATGCCCAAATTTATGTCAATATTTTGTGGAAAATTTCTACATAACTCTACAGAGAACCTCACTGGTTAAATATAGCTTATTTGCAAGCCTAATTTAACCCTTTTGGCCCTTCATAGGAACTAAAGGTGCACTTTTCATTTTTAAAAAGTAATATGAAGTCCATGGTGTTGCCCACTCCTGCTTTATACTACACCTAAGAAACTGAAACACTGAAGTTACCAAAGGTTCAAGGTTCTTTTTACAATGGATATCATTGTTTGTACTTTTCCTGTATTTGAATTATGCAGAAAACTAAGGACAAGATTCAGTCTTCCTCCCCTTTCTTCCCGATGTATACAGATCAAAAGATTCCCTTGTAGCAAAATCACATATTATAGCAATGCATATACATACTTGCAATACTCTTTGTGTAGAAAATCTACCTTGTGGATTCTGTGAAAGGGAAGGCAGAGTACAGTTCTTCTACAGAGCAGTATATAAATACTGTAAAGAAAGAAAGAACACTCTCCCAAATTATGGTAAGATAAACTGCAGTAAGCTAAGTATTCCTCATAGTTCTGCCTTTGTGTTGAGCTGAGTAACTGAACTAAACACAACTAAGTGGAAGAAAATAGTATGCAAATCATAATACCAGTTTTGGAATGCAGTAATGATTTGTATTGATACTATTGATAAAGCATAGAAATCATTGATAAAATATAGACTTCTGAGAAAGAAAATCCTTTGATCTACTTTAAAATGTCTGCATTCATAGACTTGCTACCTTACATTTCAGTGAAAGGGCAAAGATTCAGGAGGATGGAAGTCCATACTGTTATTAGATCATTTCATTCATCATTACTAAGGTGCTCATAGCAAAAATCCTTCTGCTGACTCTAAGCATTTCAGACAATGCTGTTGTTGTTGTTGTTGTTGCAGACAAACTGGAAAAGGTTCAGAGAAGGGCAATAAGGATGATTCAGGGTCTGGAAACAAAGCCCTAAGAGTGAAAGAACTGTTCATGTTCAGCCTTGAGAAGACTGAAGGGGGATACGATAGCACTCTACAAATACTTGAAAGGCTTTCACAAAGAGGGAGGACAGGATATCTTCTCAATCATTCCAGAGTGCAAGACACAGAATAATGGTCTCAAGTTACAAGAAACCAGATTCTAGCTAGATATCAGGAAAGTTTTCCTGACTGCTAGAGCAGTACAACAAGGGAACCAATTGCCTAGGGAGGTTATGTGCTCTCCCACACTGGAGGCATTCAAGATGCAACTGGACCGTCACCTGAGTGGGATGGTAGAACTTGCTGACCTGCACTAGCAGGGGGTTAGGCATGATAGCCAACTCTACTCTTCTATGATTCTATTATTTAAGAACTGCAGTGTGTGTTTCAGCTAATACACAAAAAGATGGGCCTGCCAATGACCATATATATGGATGGGTGGATGGCTGGACAGATGGACGGAGGAGAGAGAGAGGGAGAGAGATTTTTTTAGGGGAGAGGGGAGTGCCTGTCATTGTTATGTGTTAATAAGGCTCATATTTATTTATGTATGTATGTATGTATGTATGTATGTATGTCTGTATGTATGTATGTATGTATTTAGGAAGCTTCTATGCCACCCCATTTGCCGAAGCCTCAGGGTGGCTCACAACAATAAATGACAACAATATAAAAACAATATAATTGGAGACATCCTGGCCAATGATGTAAAATCAATAAATAAAATTAACAATTAAAATGTTTAAATTAAAAAAGGTCTTGGCCTGGCGCCAAAAAACAAATAACGACGGCGCCAGGCGGACCTCTCTGGGGAGCACATTCCATAGATTGGGCGCCACAACAGAGAAAGCCCTCCTCTGGGTACTTACCCTCCTAATATCCTTCACGGAAGGTTCCCAGAGAAGGGCCTCTCCCACTGATCTCAAGGGGCAGGCGGGCATATATGGATGTAAGTGCTCCTTTAGGTAACCAGGACCCATTTTTCTATCTTTTTCAGAGGTTCAGTTCATTGTCTTACAAATCTCGAGAAGACAACCCATCTCTTACAGAAGATGAGGTGAGTTTGTCCGTGCATGAAATGTACTCATTCTTTTTACAGCAATACATCAGTTTAAGTGCTCTATAATTCAGAAGGTTGGAGAACAGTGAAGAAATCTAGAGAGGAAAGGATGCCCACAGAGACAAAGCCTTTAAAAAAAAATTGGGTGCCTTTGTCAATCTCAATGCCCCAGTGTTTTCTGCATTTTAAAATGGATTAATCCTTTTGATTGCTAGTTAAAGTTCATGTCTTGTAAATTTAAGAAGGGCCAGCATTAATATAGAGACAATGGTACCAAACAACTACACATGCAATTCTACTCAATTCCTACTCATCCTTTCTTACTGCAGTTGCTCAAGCCTGTCACTTACTTTCCAGTCACCTAGAGAGCCTTTAGGAATGGTGTGCAACCTGCTAAGAGGAGCTGCAGCTGTGTCTGAGGCAGTGGGAAAGAATCAGCATACCCCTTCTCTGTGTGAATATCTGTCACTTCTGCTCACGCAAGGGACACTTTGAAGCCAAACCCTATAAGTTTGATGTATTTTAGAAAAGGAAGTACCTGTGGTCTTCAGGAGTTCTGCTTTAAAGTATTTATAGCCATATAACTGCATTTTCCCATTGTAAAATGACTAATGAAGTGTGGGCAAAATAAATTTGAAATGCAATGCAACCTTGAAAGCCCTGAGATTCAGGAAGAGAAGCATATTCCATATACAAGCTGCATTTTTACGTAGTGGATATTAAAGAAATGGCTCACTTTCTACTAGGGCTTCCCCAGAGCCCATTTCATTCTGGTTTATAACTGGACTATCTGCTTTGCTGTCCATGGGGATGCAACCCAAAATAGCACAACTTCTCTGTCATTAACTGTGACGTTTAGAAGGCTAGCATGGCAAAGGCATGTTTCACATTTAATATGTTGGATTCATATCTAGTCATACTTAAAGTAAACTCACTGTCATCAGTGAGACTTGTTACTTATGACTTAATAAGCTCCATGGATAACTCCATGGATAACTCCATGGGGTGGGGGGTGTTACACATAAGACTATGCCCTTAATCTCCTACCAAAATCCACAACATTAAACCACAGCAGGAGTATATGGGTGCAGTGTTCATCTTCAGTCCAGTAAACCAGTTGTTACATCTGAACTGTGCTATTTTACTTGGTGAATTATAAAATAGGAAGAGATTTGCTATTTTAAATGCTATTTTATTTACTTACTTCTCTCCCACTGCTTTCCTACCCCAACTAGATTTCAGCAATGTACTCTTCTGTAAATAAGCCAGGACAGGCCTCCAGAGACCTGGAGTCTACATACACCTGTATTCCAGAAATTGTACCTCAGAAGTCACCATCGATTTGCAGTGGCCTCTATGCCAGTGTGAAGGACTTGGAAAATATCCCACATCTTACAACCATGCCTCAGTCACCAGACAGACTAAATGGGGAGTTAGAGCCAGACTATGAAGCGATTCATACAATAAATCGTGAGGAAGACAGAAATGTTTTAGTGCCTAACAGCAGCCAATCCATCCTCCCACAAGAGAATGACTATGAGAGTATTGGGGACTTGCAGCAAAACAAGGAAATCACTAGACTTTAACTTTATTGAAGACAGGGCCCTGGGAATGGACTTCATGACGTGTGTTCAAGAAATCCAGGATCCACTCCACTTCATATCACTTGCACACTTGACTCACGAGTGAACATGAGATTTTCTCTCCACTGAAAAATGCATTGTGTTTGAAGTGTTTGTCAGGTGACATGAAAGCTTGCTCAGAGATGTTTGATCTGAGATGGCTGCTTCACACTTGCAAATCATCTTACAGATGTGACCTCACCCTAGGGAACAGGCAAGGGCTACTGCTTCTTTTGAAGAAGAAAGAGAAGCCAACTGGAAGATGAAACAAACTGCTTCTTTAAAAAATAAAATCTTTGCATGCCTTGCCAAAATGTGCAATCTTATCTGGCTGCTCTTGTAGGTGATGGTCACCACAAGAGAAAGATAAAATCAGAATCAACATTGAAGGCTTTGACTGACACAACCAGTTTTTTGTAGAGTGTGCCATTTTTGTCACTTGCCAAAAGATATATGTACAGGGAGTTACACCTACCCACCTACATATATATACATACACACACACACATACATTATCATTAAAAAAGCAATGTTTCAATTCTCTTTAAAATGTTATTTTATCATTTCTTTCAACCATTCTAATTTGTACTTAGAATTTGTACACTCTTTTAGCATGTACAATGCCATACATTCATGGTACCTGGCAAGCAGATACTGTCCACAGCCAGACACACAGGCATGCAAGCAAGCACTAAACTTGAAGTTATGAGATTTTTGATATTGCCAGAGAACACTCAAACTTGACCTCAGTCTCACCCTTTGGCTTTTGTCTTGCTTTGCGAAGGTGAAAAACAGAACAATTTGAGGCAGGGACAGATGTCATTGGTGGAAGATCTGTAAGTCTGTTTCTGAAGGATTACCGTAGATACGGTTGGAGATGGCTGGCAGTCCTACCTCCTACCTACTCCGTTGCAATCTACTACAGTATGGTACTAATATTCACAAGTAAGCTCTTTCCACGGTACTTGAAAGAATCTTGTAAAATCCATTTCTTATCCTCTGTAGTAGCTTACTATGATCTATCTCCTCACTTTGACAGCCACTTGTACTTTGGACACTTATTATATTATCCAATCTATTCAAACATGTGGAAATATTTTGTATTGAATGCACTTCCCAGCCCAGGGAGGCACAGTATTTAATGCAAGTTTAAGAAATCATGTAATGCATGAAATGGTAAGCTGAAAATTTTAAAAGTACTATGGAGTTTGGAATTACTTTATGATGTGTCCAGTTAGAAGTTAACAGAAAACCATTCAAGATATCTAAAACAGACTGTAAAATTTGAACTGAAAGTTAAGTAAAAATTAAAGCACAAGGGAAAATAATTCTAGCAGATTCAGGGCATGGTCTCAGTGACCTACCGTTTTTGTAAGAATCACTCTGGGAAGCATTAGCATTCAGTAACCCACTTACAAGGTAGTGCCAACTTCTGGGTAGCTGCTGGCAGTCAAGCTTTTTCTTTCAACCAAGGCAGAGACTTCAGGAGTTTTGAACCAGTAACTCAAACCAACATACCATTTTTTGCGCAACCTACAGAGGGTCAAAGTATACAGTATATTAACTAAATAGTTTATCACTAACCCATCGTTGTTTTTACTCTAAAGTAAGTGCATGGGCTCCATCTGGATTGGGATCACCATACTGCTGCAGGAAAGGCTTACAGATCTCTTCATATGCTGCTTGCTTCCTCAAATTCTACATGCATTGAAGGCAGAAGCTTCAATGGATACCACCTGCATTAAGGAAGAGTTTTTTCCCCTTTAACCCCAGTATGGGATGTATGTGAAATGTGTTGCAGTTCACTTTTGATCAGTTTTCATCCACTTTCTGAACAGAACACAGACTGAAATGGAATATGGGTTCATACATTGTTGAATTTACAGTGTGATTCATGGACCCAAAAATGATGCATTCAAGCACCAGGTATTCCCTTTTGGAAACTGCATGCAAAAATGCATATCTAAAAAACATGCACAAGAAAGCATCCATTTCAAAAATGTACAAAACTGTTACACATATTTGGAAGAATACACACAAAACTGTGCATGGATTTTCATGCAGAAAGAAGAAAAGCAAAGCTTACCATCTGATATAGACTTGTACTGGAACAAGTTTTGAAATTGAATATGCAAATCCCTAAACTCACCATGGGGTGCATGTAAGGAATTTTAGGGACAATGCAGCCAAGAGGAAGGAATAAGCCTCCCCTCCAGGAGCACAGTGACCCTGATTTGAACTGGGGCCACACATACCTACTCTAGAGTAAAGAAAAAGAGCGGGACATAGTTAGCAGCACACTATGAGATTATTAATGGGTATTGGACCTAGAGATCAGCAATTCCACAGGACCCCCCCCCCCAAAAAAGTCATTTTGTTTTCATGTATACTGGTGCAGAATTTTTGGCTTCCCCTAGATCAAGGCTTGGGTAACCTTAGGGAGCCCAGGGACCACTTCCCACCTCTCCGAGACCCATCTGTGGCCTGGACTCCTGCCAGTACTATGGTACCAAAATTTGGCAACAGGAGGGTAATGGCAAAAAAAAAACTGGCAATTGGCTGCCAAATGTTGGTGACAAGGCAGCATGGTGAGAGGAGCATGTGGCCCACGAGCTACCTTTTGCCCATCCCTGTCCTAGATCCATGGAAAAACATGCTTTGCATAGATGTACATGCACACATGCAGAAACAGAGGTAATCTTCCAAAATGTTATTTTTCTTGCCTACTGGTCTTGTGCCATTCTATTTCCACATGTCTAACCACAGCTGTACCTTTCTGTGTGTATACAGCATTCTTTTCCATACTTTATTCAGCTGATTCACACATTTTATAGAGAATGTCGTTCTTAAGGGCTTGCTGCATGTTTATGAATATTTGCAGTGCTAAATATTGTTGAACATGATAGGGAATTGTACATCTCCAAACATTCAAAAATATGTGAAGAACATGCTCCAAGGAGCTGAAATCAGGAGAAGAGTGAAGTAGCCTTAGGTATTTGAAGTTTCTGGGAAACTTTGAGAAGACTAAACTAATGCATATTCATTTTTTGGATTGTTTTAGACCTCAGGAGCTTTTTTAAGTTTTGTGATACTTTGTAGCCTTATTCTAAGCTCCCATTCAAGGTTTTACTTTATTTATTTATTTATTTAAACAACTTATATGCCGCCCCATCGCATAACATCAATTACCACAAGGCAGTCTGGTTGCATTAACTTGCTGTTACAAATAAGCTGCCATACGGATTGATTTTCTATCAGCTCCTCATTTAATTACTACCTTAACTGATATGAAAAGGCCTCAGTTCACATTGCAACAACAATGCAAAACCTTCCCAATGGCTTCCCTCTTGTTGCTGCTCTTTGCAGTTATGGTAACGTGTTGAACAACTTGTTTAGGGATTGCCCCTCCTGGATAGAGAGTATAATGATACTGCTGCAGACATTCAGTGTCAGCTACAGTAGCAGCTAAATAAGTTACTCTAAGTATTATGGGTTCTCTGTGGATAATCTCCCACGTGGAGGTTGTTCTCTGCAGCAATCATAGAGTATTACCTAAAAGGGTTGTTCCACCTCTGCTGGCTTCATTGCACTCATGGGAATAGCTGCTTGCACAATGGCACTGCTCAAACCAACCACAAGAATGACTTGAAATGCTTGTTCCTGGATCAGGACAGGTCGGCACAGTTCCCTTCTGCAATTTTTCCCCATTTTTCTGTGGTCTTTGTCTGATTCCAAAAATGAGTGTTTCCGTTTGACTTATTTTTAGAAGAGTGAAACCCCACTGTCCAAGCGGTCACTTCCAGGAGCACATGGGCACAATAGGCTACCACTTATATACACAAACCTTTAAGTGAGGAATATTAAGCAGAATAGACAAGTACTTAGTTTACAGAATGTTTGTTTTAGCAGACACGGTAATTCAGCTAATTATCATCACTTTCCAGGCCTGTTTATGTTTAGGAATTTGGAGTCTTAGTTTCCAGATAAACTAATGTTAGAACAAGCTTTCCACAAAAGCTCTTAAGATATACTCTAGAGTACTTCTGCTTTTGCATGTTATTAAAGAAAAAGCTTATAGGGAAGGGCTGATTGAACTGAGTTGTTTTCTACTTCTGGGATAAATCTCAATGAGTTTCTTCATGCAGACTCCTCTATGCATTGAAAGAATGCGCAAGAGGCATTGCAGGGCTGGATTGGTTAGCCCCACATGCTACTGCCCCTGGACTCGGGTGGCATGGAAAAGAGCTCTCCATGTGAATTAGTGCAATGATGCAAGAAGCAACTAACAATGGCTCAATCAGGGGCCCTCATCAAATGGACCCAAGATGCTGGAGAAGCATTTTCTGCCACAGCCATCAGCTTTGGACTGGAGCTACAGCAAGGACAAGACAAAATGCTCCAGCCCCACAGCCCCATCTTTGTGTGTCCTTTCAACACATGGGCTGCAGTGGGTTGGTAGGTGAACCTTGATATATCTTCTCATTTTTGCACAATAACAACCTGCCGGTATGCTGCAAGTATTATAATGCCATGTACCAGAAGTCAAGCTTCCATTTCATAAGACTAGGTCTTCTGCAATGTCAACTACACGAGTGTCAACCATTATGTTCCTCAGGGCATAAATACTGTGCCTTTAGAAATCTACCTTCTACAAAGTCTTCTGGATAGGCTTCTAGCAATGGTCCCTGTATCAAAGTATATGTGGTGCTTTCTGTGAACCTTTACTATGGTGCTTTATGAAATATTCTGAAATGTTACATTCTTTGTATATATCTCTGAAAACTAATGAGCAAGGTTTTTCTGCCTAAAAGGGTCAGCTTCTTTCTTCTAGAATTCTGTTCTACATAGCTTGGAACCTATCCTTTTAAGATGGTGTGACTCCCATGTAACTCTAGTACAAAATGATGCACATGCTTTATGTTGAAAACATAAACAGTAGCTATTCACTTAGTACTGAGGGGTTGTATATTGCTATGTGTTCAAAAATCTGTTATCAAATATTATCTATGCACATATAAATTTTGTAAAATAATGCTTTGTATTAAGAAAAGATAAATCACATGCCAAATCCTGAAATAGCCCAACTATTCTCATTCAAATAAATGAATGTATCTTGAATCAGATGCCACCTATACTTAAAGGACCCAGAAATGCAACTGTAAACTAATTTTATTGCATGAGAGGGTCCAGATAAGACAAGATGGAAAATGTTCTGAAGATCAGATTTTCTTCCTTATCAGGAAACTACATGATACATGCAAACATGTTAATACAGGCCTACAGGCTCTTTTTCTAGTCCGGTTCTCATCCCCATAAGGTTTGAGGCACTTACTTGCCTTTGTAGACTTGCAAGGGGAACCCTAACAGGATGGAAAAGTAGCCAGAACAGAAAAAGAGTGGTGGGTGGGTAAACATAGCAGCTTGTCATTTAAAAATCTGCGACTGCTTCATTACTCCTATTTGCTCAGAAGTGCAGTCTGCCCTTCGAAACAGGGCGGTTTTGTATTTTGATTCTTCACCTGTAGTTTTCTATCTGCAAAGAAACAGGTGAGACTTGTGAGGCTGTCCCCAACTTTCGTATCACCACCTCTTTTTATGATCAAAGGGAGGGCCATGCCCAATTCTTCCACTGCTGTTAATTGGACTGTGCTGGTTGCCTTGGCACCCTAATTTTTCTCTCCACAGGAAAAAAGACTGCTAATTTAACAGAAACGATTGATGAACTAAAGCCAGAGAATAGCCTTTCTTGCAAGAACTTCTGGAGATGTGATCCATTCAAGGCAGAAGATGCAAAGCTATACCCTGGAATTATTTTTTATTTCAAAATACTGCTTCGTAAGATATACCTATACAGCACAAATTCTTGTGTTCTCTCCTAGAACAGCTACATTAGTTAATGTAACAATCTCTTAAGAGTGGTTCACATAAAATAAACAGGCACATATTAGGACAGACAGTATAGCTAAACATCAAATAATCACTCAATTATACCTGTGGAGGTCTAGCAAATATTCCACCATATGTATAATGCTTTAAAAGTTCATGTTTTCCTTACAATTTTTGTATTGTACATGCCCAGACAAAACAGTTCATTAGCATGGATACCATGGAAGCAAGAAGCGATCAAGAAATCTCAGTGGCAGCTAGCTTGTCTTTTGTTATAATAATAAATTGCATAAATTATTGGTAAATACTCACGGCTTGATTTTATTTCCAGATGTCTTCATATTAATTATGTGGTCCCAATTATGTGGTCCCATTAGGACACAGTTTCACTACAATCCTCTTAGAGTTGCAGATTTGCAGGTCTTTAAGACCTGACTTAAAGATGTGCTGTAAAATACAATTTTACATATTTTAGTTCACGGTGTGAAATGTACATTACAGTACATCAAATCCATCAGTCTGTGGACCTGATATCTCCCTGCTAACCTTGTGGAATCACAATAGGATTCTACGTGTACCCCCACCCCACAAGTACACCACCCACCAAACCACTATCTGAGCTTTCTTCAATGTGGTGCCCTCCAGATGGTTTTGACTACAATTATCATCAGTCCCAGTTAGCCTGGCCAATTGTCAGTGGAAATGGGAATGACTGTTTGCTTTTCTACTGATTCTGATGTGAACTTAGCACTTGCCTCAGGGGTTCAAGGGATCACATATGGTCTGCCACTGCCAATCTCTCCCCAGTCCTGCTACCATCAGTCTTGTATACATACGCAGCTGTTCATGCCCAGCTCCCACAATGTTTTCCACCAATGTGTCACCACTTCTGCTTCCAGAGTGGAAGCCCAGAAGATGATCTAGGAGATTGCTGAGAAATGAGCAAACAATTAGTGTGCACAGAATCTTCAGCCCTGAATCCCACATCAGTGTTGGCAGGTACACATGTACTTACATCTCAGCA